GAAACACTTCTAAAACTCGATCTTTGGGATAGCCTTTAGTTCTTTCAGCGATGCGCTTTTAATGTCATCTATGCTTGCAAAACGACGGCCCTTTAAGGTTCTCTTTATTTTTGGGAATAGGAAAAAGTCAGACAGAGGCATGTCTGGCGAATATGGAGGCTGGGGCATCATTACAGTATTGTTTTTGGCCAAAAATTTTGTTCAAAATTTAACAATTTTAGAAAAAATTTTGCTGCCACGCGTTTCATACCCAAAACATTCGAAAAATTTTCATGGGATGAACAAATCGATATACCAACATCATCAGCGACTTCTCTGATGGTCTACACCGATTTCTTCCACTTTTTCACAAAATTTATTTCATTTTTCACAGAATTTCACAGAATTTATTTCATTTTTTAAGCAAAATTGGATACAAATTCTTTGATCCATTTCTTTTAACGAACGAAAAATCGCCGAGCTCATAAAACACGTCTAACCTTAGCGGCTGCCACAGACAAAGTAAACAATGCTAAAGTTTTTATCATACTTCGGGGGCAACATAATAAAGAAAATTTTATGACAATCGGACCCTCCGAACTCGCGAAATTTAACAATTCCCGATATTTTCTGAACACACCTCGTAACTTACTTGTATTTGTAAAGGGTTTTTCATTAAGTGTGATAGATATTTGATGAACGATGGCGTTGTTATTTCAAAAGATCCTGCTGCTATTTTTGCCATACGTATTCTACAAAGCTTGTCATTTTATAATAAAGAGATACACAAGTGCTCAAAGAATCCAGATAATTCAAATTTATTATCAAAATAACCGTTCCCCGCGACAAACGTTCGGTGCGTTACGCAAATTTTATGACATTCATCAACGTCGAACAGAAGCCACCATTCTCATTCCTTAGTTTGGCAAATCTTGCTTAAAGACTCTATAAGATCCAGTTGACCCAAGATCTCAAGCCAAACGATCATCTTTCGCCTTGACGCGTCGCGACGTTTTTCTAATTGGGCTCTAGAGCATTTGGAAACAGACCCTGAATTCGGCCAGACAATAATTTTTAGCGATGAGGCTTATTTTTGGTTGAACGGCGTCGTTAATAAGCAAAACTGTCGGATTTGGGGTGAAGCACACCGATGAGAGATCGAAGAGTGTCAACTAAATTCCAGGAAAGATTACTGTATGGTTTGGATTTTGGTCTGGCGGCGTCATCGGTCCTTATTTCTTTGCTACTGAGCAAGGCAGAGTGTTGACGGATAACAGAGAAAGGTATGGAAGAATATGGATCCAAAAAACATGTTTTCCCAACAGGATGGTGCCACTTTTCATACAGTTGGAACACTGGACTTGATAGCAGACAAATTTCCTTGGTCTGTAATTTCACGTAACGGCGATATCAGTTGGCCAGCGAGATCAAGTAATCTTACTCCTTTGGATTTTTTTCTTTGGGGGTATCTGAAGAATCTGGTGTATGCAAATAAGCCTCGAACTATTGAATTCCTCAATATCCGACACATCATTGGCGAAATACAACCCGATTTCTGCTAGAAAGTAATCCAAAATTGGGCTTCACGAATGGACGCAACCCATCAAAGCCGCGGAGGCCATTTGCCAGATGTTATTTTCCATAAATAATGTCAAAATATGTTCTTTAATCTAAAAGTAAAACAAAGTCGTTACTTTTTAGCACTTCAAAGATCTATCACTTTTATTGAAAATATTTAAAATAACAACAGGAATTAAGTTTAAATAAAAAAAATAACGTGTGTTATACATATAAGTAAAACTTCTCCGCAGTATTCATAATTATACTAAAAAGGGTTTAGGAAATATATTTGATGAAATAATTTTCATCTATTGAATATTAAATTTGAATTTATTATTATCCTGTACTTTCGTCAGATTCATCCTACAGGCATTAAACAAAAGGCTAATGATAACTTTTTTCATTGTAATTTATCTAAATATCTAACAAACACTTTCGTAGTAGATATATCGCGTTAAAAATACGTAAGGCGTATTTTGTTTTATTTTTTTCTTTGGGGGTATCTGAAGAATCTGGTGTATGCAAATAAGCCTCGAACTATTGAATTCCTCAATATCCGACACATCATTGGCGAAATACAACCCGATTTCTGCTAGAAAGTAATCCAAAATTGGGCTTCACGAATGGACGCAACCCATCAAAGCCGCGGAGGCCATTTGCCAGATGTTATTTTCCATAAATAATGTCAAAATATGTTCTTTAATCTAAAAGTAAAACAAAGTCGTTACTTTTTAGCACTTCAAAGATCTATCACTTTTATTGAAAATATTTAAAATAACAACAGGAATTAAGTTTAAATAAAAAAAATAACGTGTGTTATACATATAAGTAAAACTTCTCCGCAGTATTCATAATTATACTAAAAAGGGTTTAGGAAATATATTTGATGAAATCATTTTCATCTATTGAATATTAAATTTGAATTTATTATTATCCTGTACTTTCGTCAGATTCATCCTACAGGCATTAAACAAAAGGCTAATGATAACTTTTTTCATTGTAATTTATCTAAATATCTAACAAACACTTTCGTAGTAGATATATCGCGTTAAAAATACGTAAGGCGTATTTTGTTTTATTGCTAAGCAAAAATGTACAATATTAAGTAACACTAAGAACAAAAAACGAGATATATATGCCTTTATGTATTTTTAATGGCGATATTACTATATTTATTAATTTTTAAGTTAAATTCACGATCTAAAAATATATCAACGGTTGTGCTTCCTTTAAAATTAACATTAAATCTTTACTTAAGATGATATGCAGCTATGAAATTCCCCATTTATAAATCATATCTTCATGAATTTCCCATAAAGGTTAATTCGCAAAATGCATTAAAAACACGTAAATGCATAATATTTTTTATATATATCTATAGATAAAGACATTTTTCGTTATAATAAACAATTTATTTTAAAATAATTAGTTGTACAAAAATATAATATATCTATTATATTCATATTCATACTTTGAAGATCAATGTTTAAACAGTGGTTGCTAATGGTATTTCCGTTAAAACCTATAGGTGCAATCTTAAGTTCTGAAAGTTCTTTAAAGAATCGCTAAAGGAAAACATTATAGAATAATAAATCAAAATTAAGATTTGCGATTTCCATAAAAAACTAGGCGCAAATTATTACTTAAGATTTTCTAATATGTAGTAGAGTCTACTTAAAAGACTATAACAAAGTATTAGAAAGATTGTATTGGTGTGAAACTATTGTAATAAAAGTAAAGTTCAACAATAAATATTTCAACAAGTTAAGCATAATTTATTTTTATTGTAAATGGTTTATATTAAACATAAAACTTTGTTAAATACAAAAAATATAGGTAATTTTCTGCTTGAATAAAATATAGTTTTTTTTTTACAAAAATCTTTCACATAAAATTGCAAGTAATTTATGGATTTGGAAAATATATCTACACTGCAGATTTCACAGCATAGGCACTTAAACACGTATACGGATTGTAAAATTTTTGCTAGGATCATAAATACGTTCAGTCTGACGTGCAAATGCCCTTTCTGTTTGTTTTTCATGATATTCCAATAAAGATCGTTAACCTCTAACATAAAGGAAAACTACAGTTCTAATACGCAGTTTCCAAGGATTTTAAGGAAAGTTTTATTTATTTAAAGTACGATGTTCAGTAGGGTGATTCAGAATAATATTTTTGAATTTCAATGAGTGCCGGGCTAAAGATTCTAGGAAGTATAACAAAAATTTAGAGTCAAAAAAAAGCAAATCGGTATATTTTTAGATGATGCAAAACTTTTGCAGCAAAAGGCAATTGTTTAAAAAATAACCTAAAAAAGTTGGTTTACATAAAATGTTGTATAACTTCGCATAGTTCAATGATATATTTTAAAACAATTGTTTTTTTATAAAAAATTAAAAAAAAATTTATTCAATACTCAAAAAATTTTCGAGAATTTGAACGATAGCTATTTTAAAAGTTTGATTGTTATGCGTAGATACATCATTCACTCCAGGTGAGGCTCCTCCGCAAAAATATTTCACATTTACCTTTTAGAATCACTTGGACATGGCACGGAAAAAATTTTGTTTGCGAGTTACGCGTTACGCTCGGTCTGCATGAATATATAACATAATGAATTTTTATAAAAAAAATGGCTTTATTATAAATATTTGTTTGCGGCGGTGCCTTAATTTGAGTGAAAATTGTATCTAGGGGCAGAATATAACTACTTGGTTATTTTTGCTGCAAAGGGGCTCATGATTACTTTAAGTGTAAAAACGAATTAATTTGTACTACAGCTAGGGTTGCCAGGTGTCCTGGATTTCGCAGGATGTCCTGGATTTGGGGCTGGAATTTAAGTGTCCTGCGAAGACCTCTGGAAGGACTCCTAATGTCCTGGATTTCACAAATGCTTAAATTATAAATTGTATTTAACTCGGCGCCATCTAACGCTAAATGAAAAAAACTCGGTAATACGAAATACAGATCGCTTTTCGGGGTTTATCGAATAATTTTTAACTATTTTACTCGGCGCCATCCCAGACCGCAAAACACCATTCCCTGCACATGTCAGGAATATTCCCAGGATTATTCCAAGCGTACCAGAATATTGCCATATTTTTTTGTTTTTTTACATAATTGTAAATAAACCAAAAAATAGGTAAATGTTAGTTGGCCCTTAAATACTGAACAGAAAATATTCTACATTTAAAGAAAGTTAAGAGCTCACAAAAAAATTAACATTTTAAAACTTAATAAATAATTGTTTTTAACTTTATAAGTATAGTACCTACAAACCTACAAAGGTAAAAATAAAAATAAATAAATTTTGTCAGCAATCTTTTTAAATTAATAATAATAATAATAATAGCATTAATGTTTTGTATTTTATTTGGTTTTATTATTTTATTTTGAGATTTTAGGCATAGGTACCGCATTACATTAAATACTGTTATTAAACATTTTTATTTTTTTAGAAATGCCAAAAACAATTCAAAAGTTCTGTGGGCCAACGCGATCAGAAAAGTTTCAATTGAAAGAAAACCACATTTTTCTACCATAGCCTTTTCAGCTATGAATTCGGCCAATCAAACTTCATTGGAGAAAAGTATCCCCACGTCTCCCAGGTTTATAAAACATGTAAATATTCGTATTACAAGAATAACAATAATATTTTTATCGAATAATTATTTATAGGACAGTACTGATAGAAGTCTAAGCAATCACTTACAAATGCCAATGAGTGAATCCATGTCGATTAAAAATGGGAAACCTGATGAAATTAACATCAATTTCAAGGAGAGTGTATATGATGATAACTATTCAGAAAAAGGTAAGAATAATAACAAATTATAATCTAGAAGCATTTTTTTTTAAACCGCAAGATTTAAAAGGAAGCAATTTTATCAAACCAAACACTTATTTTGCTGTTAGCAGATTAAATTAAAATTACACTGGATGTGGTCAAATGTTAAATAAACAAAAGTACAAACAATTAGAATAATAATAAATTGTAATACCTAATTAAAATTACTTACGCTTAGTGTTTAACAGAATGTCCCTAGTAGAAGTAAGTAAACATTTATTTGTTTTTAGCGGATTTTGCCACGGTTTTCAAAAAGGGACACATGTACAAAGGAATATATTGGCCATGTCTGACCAACAGTTTTCAATCCAAGCATCTTGAACTGGCGTACCTTAGGTATTCTCACAGGCAAAGACAAAAAGCATTAATCATTGTAAACATAGTAGATTTACTATTAAAGGTAATTTAACTTTTATATTTGTTTTAACAAATTGATTATAGCGTTTATTTTTAGATAGCTTTAATTATAGTCTGGAAAAGTCAAAACACTTACGTTAAAGAAATATCAGAACATGCCGACTCTATTATATGGTCAGTATGCTGTATGTCAATTAATATAGCTGTATGTATTTTGGGTTGGTGGAGATGTTTTGCAAACAATTATCTACATTGGGCAGCGGTTTGCACCTGGATACTTTTGACTACTCAAAGTGAGTCAAACTTAAATTTGTTAATTTAATTACTGTAATAGAGGCCAAAAATACCTAACTTTCTAATAAATTACATAGGAAAATTCAATTAAACATCAAAAGTTAAATGCCATTAGATACAGGAAATTTATATATTTTTTGGAAAATTAACTTAATAAGGAATAGAACAAGAATATCATTTAGTTTATTTTTTACTTGTGATTTTTTTATTAATAATAATGATAATAATAATAATATTTATAATAATAAAAATAATAATAATGGGAAAGGAATTTTAATAAAACAAGAATATCATGTAGTTTTTTTTACGTTTGTTTTAATTATTAATAATGATAATAATAATAATAATACTTTATTAATGTTTAAATTTATTAATAATACAAAAATTGTGGTACAAGTCATGAACAAATTAATTGACATATAATTTGGTAGGTAGGTACACTAAATATAAATAAGTAAATACTAAAGATTTGATGTATAAAACGATAAAATAGTATATTATGTATCAAGTTTTATAAACGCCATTTTAGTTATTAGGCTTTAACTCCTGAACGATTATAATATAATAGTTCCTGAGCAAAAGTTTCATATTGATGCTGAAAAACTACAGTTATTTATAAACCAAAAAATGGAATGTGAAAAAAAAATAAGGCCAGAAAGTAACAGATCTACAACTTTTTAGTTGTATATTCCAGAAGCGTACAAATTTTACATTTTAGTTTTTACTTATGCTGTTGATTGTAGTAGTAGTAGTTAAGTGGGCTTCCAATTGTTGTTTAATTTTTATGGTTTAAACAATTATTAAAAATGTGATAGCTGGAAGTGTGTGATGACCAAATTATTAGATAATGGCTAATATATTATATATATATATCTATAGATCTAGGCTAACCGTTAAATCCCTTAATTATTAATTTACCATTAAATGGAGCAAAAGAAATGACGTGATCTGTTAAATATTTTTTTACAAGGTGAACTGGACTAAAAGCTTATATTTTGTTGAATTAAATCAGGCTTGTGGTGGCTGCCACACTGTGGCAATAATACAAAACTATTCCGAGATAAAAGCATTGGTAAATATTTTAAAAACTCTGTATCTTTAATCAGAATAAAGATAGGTATTGAAATGAATAAAAAATTAATTCAGGAAAACATAAAACTTAAAAATAAAAAATTGCTATTTCTTGACGAAGTGGTCAAAATTATTAGAAAAGATACGCCACTTTTGGATCTCGAGTATCTCCAGAAGGGTCCCGTTCGACCACCAATACAGTTTCATTAAATTTGCAAATTTATTAGAACATGTCGATGGTTATTTGACAAAACATCGTAAGCGACAAAACCTAAATTTTACAGGAGAGATTTTTTTTGTGTGGGAGCTTTATTTTTAAAGTTATTTATCTGAAAACTTGTGAGGCATTATTTTATTAATGTAGAATTCATATATTTAAGGTAGATCGAATCCAATCTAAAATTTTCATTAAATTTTGTGGCATACGATATTTTATAAGAACATCTTTAGGAAAATGCAAAAACAGTCTTGTAGCTTAAGTTACATTTACGTTCCTTTGTGGAATATAGATTTGATGATTACTTTTGTCAAAACATTGTTAGCGACATTTATTTTTTTACTTTTATTACAAAAAAATTAATTTATATCACCAACGATATTTTGCCAAACAATTTTGAAAATAAAAATCTACATTCATATATATATATTTTGAAGTTATTTTAATATTTTAAAGTATCTATAATTGTTAAGTTTAATTAAAATTAATAACGGGCAATGTTAATGGTGACAATTACGTCAAAAATTTTTATTTAAATCGTAGTGCCAGTTATAGATTTCCGTATCGTAAGGACGGCATTCCTTCCTCCCGTAGAAATTTTTAAGTTTTATCTTTCACCGTAAAGGTCCTTGACATGACCAATCACAGTGCTTGTTATAGACATGCGCTGTAGGGTGACAGCGCGTAGACACAAAATATTTAAAATACATGATTGTTTAGTATTATTTAAGATAGGTGTTCAGTTTATTAAATAATTTGTGTATCTAAATAGGATATTTAGATATTGTTTATGATCAATGTCTTTCATTTTTAGAAACGTTGCTTTGTAAAACCCCGTAGTTTCCCGGTTCAACGTCTTGTTCGATATTTTTTTTCATTATACTGCCCTACTATGAAGAAAGGCAGTAACTACAAATGCGTTTTCTTGTGCTATGATAAAGCTATGGACATTTTGTATCTTAATTCAACAAAGAAATGCAGTAAACTATCTTTTAAGTTAAATAAATCAGTTAAATACCTACTGCTTTTTATAAAAATGTAGTTTATGCTAATTTCCCACAAATTTCTTGTCTAGCAGTTACTGCCTTTCTCGATAGTTGGGCAGTATACAATAAGCTGCCTGCGCAATTAAAATTGTGATCACTGCACTAATATATAAATGATTATCTTTCATATTTACACACAAAGGGTAAAAATATAAACAAAAATAAATGTCAACCATTTTAGGTGTCATCGCGCATGGTTACGGAATTTTACACGGAAATCTATAAATTGACTTTTTACAAGACGCACATATCGTAAGTACGTGCACGACTACGGGAGGAAGGAAGGAAGGCAATCTATAATTTAGACTTTATAAATTTGAGTTAAATTATTTGACGTTATAACAACATACAATTACTACAAAAAACACTTTTAACGAACCACACTACGCAAAAACAATTATAATTAGGATAACTAATAATAATGCAATGATAAAAAGGAATTATAAGCTTTTGATCAAATAAAATATTGTTTTAAAACTTGGTAGCAATCACAATCCACATTGTGGATTGTGGTAGCAATGACCACTATGCAGGTATACTCACGAATAAACTGTTTAGAGCGGGAATAACGCCTTGATAGATCGGGAGCACAATATTATCGTAAGCGACACAATGTTAAATCGCAAACGCCATGTCTCGGAGTTGCTTACGATTATTTGTCAGGAACATATAGGCGCTTACGTTATAAATCGATAACAAATTAAAAAGAAGAGGCGCATACAATAACAAAAATGTTCAAACTGACCAATATTAGATTCCAAAATTGGAATAACTATTATGTTAACATGTGCAGCTTATCGTAACTGACACTTTGATAAAATAAAAAACAAAATTGTCGCTTACGATGTTTTGTCAAATAACCATCGATGTGAAATAAAAAAATGATAATCAAGATAAAAATATTGAAATTCAATACGTCCAAAAATTATAACAAACATGGATTAAAAAGTTATTTAGGATTAGGATTTAGGATTTGTATTAAAATTATACTGTTTTTCCGATTGTTTTGCCCAGGAGTGTATTTTCACTATTTCAAGCCAAATATTCTTATTAGTGGTTTACAATAGAGAGTAAGGAACGTAAAGTTTATTATTTCCTTTCAGGTTTTATTGGCAAGGGCATTGGTTTTACCCAAAAAGAAGACCTGGTATGGTACGTTCTGTTTATAGTGTTTGTTCCTTACGCCATGTTGCCGCTTCCTCTGCGCTGGTGCATGATTGCAGGATGTCTATCAGCCCTGGGCCATATAATAATTATTTCCATCGAGGTTTACCGGAGCAAGGAGGTACACTTATTCATTTAATTAAAATAAATTAGACAATCTCGGGGTAATTTTAGCGGCTCTAATGCGATTTAAAATGTAATTTACATTTTTAGATATTTGATAATAACGAGTGCAAAATACGAAGAATTATTACGAATATACTTTTATATACAGCTGTAAATTTTGCTGGAATGTATACGAAGTTTTTAACCGATAGAAGCCAACGATTGGCGTTCCTTGAAACTCATAGATCCATGGAAACCCGATACAGAACGCAAAGTGAAAATGATAAACAAGAAAAATTATTATTATCGGTGCTTCCTGATTTTGTTGCCAAGGAAATGATAAAAGATATAGAAAAAGAAGAAAAAGGGGGAGTTTTTCAGCCCCATCAATTCCACAAAATTTACATACATAGATATGAAAATGTTAGTATTCTCTTTGCAGACATTAAAGGATTTACAGGTATTAATAAAATGTTAAAAGGTAAACCTCCTGTTTATACAATTTTTATAGCTTTGGCAACTAAATGCACTGCAAAAGAATTGGTAAAAATATTAAATGAATTATTTGCAAAATTTGACAAATTAGCTGCAGTAAGTTTTAATATAATTTGCATTAAGTTTAACAAAATTATTATAAATATTATTTTAGGAAAATCATTGTTTAAGGATTAAACTTCTTGGCGATTGTTATTACTGTGTATCAGGACTTCCAGAGGCTAGGTCTGATCATGCTCATTGCTGTGTGGAAATGGGCTTGCATATGATTAAAGCCATTAAAGACACGCGTCAAAAAACACAGGTAAGCACAGTACAGATGATTGAGGCATGTCAAACATTAGTGATGCCAACAGAAACATATAACGATAGTAAATTTTTGCAGAAGCTTTTTTTGTCAATTTTAGAAGTAAAATTTTTTGCGAACGGGGCAAACAAAAAAATGGCGTTACGTTACGGAAGTACTCTGATGCTCCAGCCCCTTACTGTGACCGTCCGTGACCTTGCTTATATTTAAAAATGTTTTTGTTACTATATAATTATAATGACGAAGTTTCAAATCATTTGAAATTTTATAACAAAATAATAAAAATAAATAAATAAAAAATGGCCCCTTCACAAACTCTGAGTTCAATAAAACAAAACAAAAATGTGTAAAACGACCATAAAGATAAAAAATCTAACCGGTAATATTTACACATTTTGTAATAACTATTTACATTTTTAATACCTGCTCCTGGCTGACAAGTGCATGCTTATGTGTAATTAGAATTTAGTTTTGATAAATAAATAAAAGATAATTTTTAAAGTATAAAACCCATAGTTATAAGTTACAATAAAGTATTTAGTTTATTAAACATAAATTTTACAAATATGGCGGAGATATTGTGTGACCAAGATTACAAAGTGATAGTAAAGAAATATCTTGGACATAATAATTTTCAAATTGTGAATGTCAAAAATAAACCGTTTAGCGAACATCCTGATGTTTTTTTGGGAGAACATCTTTTATTACAAGTTAAAGTTAAAGTAAACAATGAAGAAGATTGTCAAAAATTACGTTTTTTTGGAAAATTATTTCCCACAAAACATAAAAATAATGGTGATTTTGCTAAAGAAATAAAGTGCTTCGAAAGAGAAATAGGAATATTTAATGTTGTTTTTAAAAACATCAAGCATGCATTACCCAACTTTAAACAAAACTTCGCCCCAAATTTTTTATTTGGTTTGGATAATGAAATAGTGGTTTTTGATGACTTAACAGTGAAGGGATATACGATGGCAAAAAAACCCAATCTTCACTTACTCGACTTAGAACATCTACATGTTATTTTGAAATCAGTAGCTGCGTATCATGCTGCGTCATTGGCATATGAAGAGAAAAAATCTACTCAATTGGGCCGAAAATTTTGCTTACTTGATGAATGGGATTTGGATATTTGTGAACCAATTTGGAATAAACTCGAAAACAATCTAGGAGGACAATATTTATTTGCAGGTTTTAAAGGATTACTTGCTATAGCTAACGACATTTCAAAAAATACCTTAAAGAATGGTTTTAAGGAAAAATTAAAGCAACTGTTTTATGATTCTTTCGATGTTTTTCAATTGCAAAATAAATTTAGGAATGTGTTATGTCATGGTGATCTCTGTCCGAAAAATGTGATGTTTAAATATGAAAATGATGTGCCAATAGCCTGCAAGATTATTGATTATCAATTGATAAGGTATTTTCCACCTGCTCTGGATATTTTATTTTTAATTTACCTAACAACAAACAAGGAAATGCGCCAGCATCATTTTCACACTTTATTGCGTTTCTATCATAATTGTCTTAAAGAAGAAATTGCTAATTATGGATTTGATATCAAAAATATATTATGTTTTGATGAGTTAAAAGTATCCATTCATTATTTTATGCCATATGTTAAACTTTATACAACCTTACAGCTATCTATGCTGTCTGGAAATAAGCAATACATAAACAAAATTATGGCGCAACCTGATAAATACAGGGAATTTGTTTTTGTTGACCGTTCTCCTTATGTAAGAAAACTGTTTCAATACGATGAAAACTATCAATTCCTTATTACAGAAGCTTTAACTGATATTAAGGAAATACTTGAAATCCCCCAAGTCACTAGAGAAGATTGTTACAAAGTCATGAATAGAAAACTTGGTTCCTCTTACTACACATTTGATTCCTTTCAGCTTGAACCTTGCGAAGATGCATCTGTATTAGGCAACAACTTTAAACTTCACATTTTTATTCGTCATAATATTAAGAAAAGGGGTTTTAATTTCTTCGTTAAGGGTCTGCCTAAAATTAAAACTTTTAACCAGATGACATTAGATAATGGATTATTTTCAAAAGAAATTTTTATTTATGAAACTTTTTATCAAATGGCTGACAATATCGATGTTGACTTAATTAATGATTGCATAACCACAAACTATTTTACAAGAATGAATGATTTGATGATAATGGATGATTTAGAATTACAAGGATATAAGACAATTGGGTGCTTTCAGCCTTTTTCATTTGATTTGCTTTATTTGGTCTTTCAAAAACTTGCTAGATTCCATGCTACTTCTTTAGTGGTTGAAGAAAAGCTTACTGATCAAAACGAAAGAAAATATAGAATGACAGATCAGTATGGTAAATATATTAAGGAAAGTTTCTTTTTAAAAGACTCTAATAAGCTGGGTCCAACTTATTGGAAAACTGGAATTAAATCTATTGATTTAGTTATAGATTTATGTAATAATATAATTGATACTTTACCACTAGAAGATTTTAAGAAAAAAGTCAAAGAAATGCTTGAAATGTCCTACGAAATAATGAAACCTTCCAACGTTTATAGAAACATTATCGGACACGGTGACCTTTGGACAAAAAACATACTTTTTAAATTTGATCATAAAAATAAACCAGTTGATTGTAGATTTATAGATTTTCAAGAAATAAGGTACTGTCCACCAGGACATGACATTTTTAGTGTATTATACTTTAATACCGATAGAAACGTTAGAAATAAACATATGAAGGAATTAATCGATATATATTATGAAGAATTATCCAATTCTGTTTCAAAATTTGGTTATTTAATCGAAGACATATATCCAAAACATCAATTTTTAAAAATGCTTGACTACATGAAGCCTCAAATATTATTACAAAATATAGTCATAAGAGAGATTTCAATGTGTACTAGTAATGAATTAAATATATTTCTAAATGATGAAATTTTGGCCAAAAATATATTTTATAAAGATAGGAGTGATCTAATAATAACAATGTTTGAGGAGTCTCCTTTTTATAAAAAGATTTTAACGGAAACTGTGTTAGATCTTTACGAGTATTGCAAATCAAATAAATAAAATGGAAAAGTGTATTATGAATTGTTTCATTAAAAAATTAATAAAAGTTTATATATTTACAATATATTTTATCTTTTTAAACTCATTCTTTATAAAATCAGTTTTAATTGTTTCCTCCACCTAATGATTTTGAAGTACAAAATGCGCTAATTTTGAAAATGTTCAAAACAAAATTCTTTATTAAAAATAACTCCAGCCATATGAAAATCTCAAAAATATTGCAAATTATAACTAATTTCGTTTTAAACATGTACAAAATATGTTTTTACAATAATTAATGAAAACACACTTACTATAGGTAGGTAGTCAGTTAAATTAAATTACAATCATAATTTTTTTATAATAGAAAAAAAGTTGTAGCTCAACAAAAAAGGGTATCAAAATAACACAATTTTAACTTTCAGATTTGTATAGGTACAGTGGTGGGCACGGAATTTCTAACGGCATAATTTGGTTTTCTTTGTGGGATTTTGTAAATATCAAAGATACAATAATAACCATAATTGCTTTCGCTGTCAAAATTACAAGAATAGTGATAACCGAAAGTAAGGTTAGTTGTCCATAAAGGCAGTTTAGATTTTGATTTCAACCGATTGAAATTCCATTGCCTTAGTATTTAAATCAGAATTTTTTAATTACTTAGTAAGATTTTTTAAAAGCTTCTTTCGTTGCTTCTTTAAAATATTCATTGACATATCCTCGGTCAAGCAATTTAGCTTATGGGACTATGAAAAAAATTAACTTATTGCTGGTAAACCAAACACACGATGGGGTTTTGATTTTCAATCAAAAAGCATTAAATGACAAAAATAAACAAGGGTTCAAGACGAAATCAAAATATTGTTTGGCTCTCTCATATCTCATTTTCTCCGTATATACAATTTGCCATCTGAAAAAGAGGAGACTAAAGATTTGGAAGTTACTTTAGTTTAGTTAGGTGCTTATTCTAAAACTAAATTACTCATTTATTTCCAAGACAACTCTAAAGCTGACGAATGACATACTCTTATGGAGATAAAAATTATGTAATAAAAATAGTAACCTTGGTAAGATTAAAAGAGTGTGATACTTAATATTTACAATTTTTCCTGTTTATTCATATCTGCAATAAATTAACTGATCATCTCTAAAATATTGTATTTCTGGTGACCAGCCTCCTTTAATAAGGATGGCAATTTTCTCAGTACCCAGAAACTGAAATAAAAAAAAATTGAAGATTATTTTGTTTTATTGTTTATATTATTAATTTATTAATTAATTTTACAGTGTTATATTTATAAATAGGTAAATTGCAAAAATCTTATATTAAAAAAAAAATTGCAAATATATTTGACAATGTCATGTTATTTTCTTTTTACAAAAAGAAACTGGCATGAAGTCTGCAGCCATGGCTGTTTTCTTCTAAATATTTAAACGGAAATTGTTTTCTCTTATAACCTAGTTTTTCCAAGTTATTAAAAACCATAACTTCGTTATGTTTTGCGAAATATCAATTTGAAACAATTGCCAAGTAAATTAATTGCTGTATCTTACCTCATTTCTTGTATATATAACCTTTTAAAACAAATTACGTTGTTTGTTTCAGACATTTAATCAAATAATTTAACGTTGAAAATTTACCTAAGTAATTTACATCTTGATGATCCATTCCGTGGTTTAATTTCAAAGTTTTTAAAATGGTAATTTGTAGTCCCTAAGTAAAATTTTATGGCAACCTGCAAGCGGTATTTTTCCTCTTGAACTACTATAACCTGTCGCTAAAGTTCTGAGTTTGTAAATTTTGTTTTCCCAGAGGCACTTTTAATAATTCTCTAGGCATGGACATTATTAAAGTCTAGACTAATATAAATATATTTTATATTGGATAGAACGAATAAATCAAGATTTAAATTTTACTGTATTGCATACAATAACGTATGTATATGTATGAACAGATCGATTTTTTTTCGAAAGTAGGTTTAAAAAAAGTGTATAGTACGATCGACGTCGATACGACAAAAGTTAAAAAAAGTCGATTTTTTAATTATTTTTATAGCTTAGCTTTCATATAACTGTTTTAGCGAAATCATGCCTATTTTTAAAACGCGCTCAGAAATACGGTTTTTGAAGTGGAGGGCCACTGTATCCAGTTAAATTTCTGATAGGAACATTTATGGTAGAAAACATGACGCCTTGATAGTATTTTAGTAATGAAATATGAGGTACATTAACAGTCATAATAATGACGTCCTTAATTCGTCTGAATTTGGTAATGAAATATCCGGTATATTAACGGTCACAACGATAACGTCTTTAATCCGTTTTATTTTGGAATTTCGTCAAAAAAGGCTTGTCTTTTGATCTTGATTCAAAATTCTCTCTTATCATAAGACTTATAGCCTTAAAGTAATTCGGTCTAATTATTTTTATTTTTAGAAATAAATTTGTATTAAATAAGTCCTTTATTAAAGCTATAATTATTATAATATAATTGTTTAGATATATTCACAAATTCGTTTTAAATCCAAAATGGAATCCTTTAGCCTCTTTGTGTAAGCTCTGTCTTTATCTTTATGCACTAAAATTAAATGAGTTCTATCCTCAAACAAAGCTTTTTTATGTAGATCTTTATCTTTTAAGTATGATTCTATGCAGCTCGAGTTAATCAAAATCAAAGGAAAGTAAATTGCGGTTTGAATTATTGCAAATATTTTTTGTTCTTCACAGCTATCCAGGAAATCTGGGAAGTTTATAATACTGTCAGTTAATACTCCGTTTGACTTGAGGTTTTTATCCAAATAATTATAATATAATCCTAGTAACTGATACAAATGTTTTTCCCTGAATTCTCTTGACGTTGTCAGGTAAATAAATGACAAAACATCCTGAGCAGGAGGCACATATCTACTGCACTGAAAGTCTACAAACTTACAATCAACAGGTTCGTTCTTTTCGTCGTATTTAATAAGAAAATTAGTAGCCCAAAGATCTCCATGGGTAATAACATTTCTGTATTTAGTAGATGGTTTAACTAAGTCGTAAACTTTATAGAGCATTGTTTTAGCTACATCCAAAAATTGTTTTCCTGAAGCCAACTTTTCCTCAAAATTAAACAAACTTATTTCCCCTAAAACACCTCTAATAGAAGCATTTACACCTGCGTGATTTATAAATCCTTCCCTGTCGTTAAAGAAAGATTCTTCAAGTTCTTCTCTATATTCATCAAAAAGATTGTATATGTTTTCAAGCTTTTTAGACATTTCTTCCTCATATACAATACTGCTAGCATGCAATTTTGCTAGTTGTTGTATGACAATTAATACTTCATTGTACTCGAGGAATCTCATTTTATCTATACCCTCGTATAGAGACGCACCCAAATTTTCAAGAATTAAATATTTGTTATACCTACAATCAAATAATAATGGCGTGCAACTGGATATAAGTTTTAAACTATGTTGTTTAAATTTTTCGAATAATTCATAAATAAATATTTCCTTTTTAAATGCTCCCACTCCATCAGCCAACTCGGCTTGTTCTTGTATTTCTGGAAAACATTTTACGAAAAATGTTTTGTGCACTTTTTCTTTATTTTCCAAGTCTTTTAGTGTAGTGTTAAGCGTATAATGCTCTCCCAGCAGCCCTATTTTCTCAGGAAACTTTTGAACACAGTACGTTAAATGGTATTTTTTGTGTGGGTAGATTTTTTTAATTAAATCTGCAATATCATCTTCTGTTAGGTCCATCTAAAAAATAGTAATTTTATTAAGAATGTTACACAGTTTTAAATTATGTACTGTTTGTAATTAAACTGTATACATATGAAGCATGTGATATATTATCATAGCAAAGGTTTATTGTGTTCAACATCAATGTTTACTTTAAAGATAACTTTAATTAATTAGTTTATTTAATTAATAAAGCTAAAAATAACAAGCAAACAATGTTTTGCAAACATTTCCCTAAAATTTATATTTAAAAACAAAATTGTTATAACTTTTATATGATATTGTATAATTAATGAAAATACATTTAGAAATTTAGAAGTAACAAGGAGTAAAATTTAAGAATTGTAAAAAACAATAAAATATAAAAATATACATCCATTAATCCATTGACCCAAAACAGTACGTTACTATTATATTAAAACATATGATTCTGTTAAACACTAATTATTAAAAATATTTCCTTTTTATAGCTATATTCTTTTACTAATTATACTATAATAGTATTATCATAGTATGCAGCGCGGAATTTACAGGTATATCTAAATTATTATTAAAATTATAGCAACAATTTTATTTATACGGTTTAAAAATCTCTTAGCATAATATGTTAAATATCAGTGGCAGCTGAAAAAATGTTAACCATTTTACTTATTTTATTTAAAGATGTATTACTATTATTTCAACTAAATTAGTGGAATTGTAATTTAATTACCAATCAAAATTACAATGGTATCTTTTTGTAATACATGAAAAGACTTAACTTTGTAATCGGATTAAATTTAGTAACTACGTCATAGAGGTAAATCCATGTCTACATTCAATGCAATGCAACCTATGCGTTTTTATTTTTGATTTACTAAAAAGTGAATAAGGACCACAGACCTACAAACAACGTTAAATATAGAAACTTCAAAGTCAAATGTGACAACTGAGGGAAAATATTTATTTTTGTTCCTGGCCACTCTTTTCAATGTAAATAAACCGGTCCATCTTGTTTGTAGGTCTGTGATAAGGACCTATTTTTGTTTTCCAAAAAATAAATATATATTTTGGTTTTGTTTTTTAACTAATTATTTTTAAAATAAGCAGTTTGAAAAAGTACGTTAATTTAAGCTAAAAATTAAACTGTTAAGAAGTTAAAATGAAGCTTTGTTAAATCGAGATAAAAATTTTAAAAGCATATTTTCTTTATATTTTTATTTAAATAAACTTTTTATCTAGAACTTTTTTTATTAAAAATGCTAATTTGGTACCTATTTTATTTTTATCTTTTTATTTTTTATCTTTTACAACTTTATTAGGGTTCTAATCGGTTTCTAGCTAAGAATAAAAAATTAGTTAAAAAACTGGGAGAAATACGTAAAAATAGAGAACATTCTTACTAATTTTCCTGGTTTTAAGGAAAACATCTAAATTATCACTTCCTGGGTCTATGACCCTTAAATCCAATTTCATTCATTTTCATAGTTTAGAAAAAACGTAAAGGAAACAATAAAAATAAAAACAGAAAGATGAACAAATTTTAAAAATATCAAAAAAGAAAAAAGTTTAAAAAATCAGTTTTCATCCAACTATAAATTGTTAAATAAGCTATACTGGGTTTATTAGACAAGACCTGACTTCCCTGCCCATTAAGAAATAATTTGTATATTATTATACGAAATATAATGTGCATTATCTCGAGTTTAATTCCGTAATAATTACAATTATTGTCCAATTAATTAATTTTTATTAATTACAAAATTTATTAAAACCTCACTTTTTCTCGATTTTAAAGATTATTATAGTTGCCCCTGGTATATCAGTATCAGTATAAGAACGTATGGCTGGCCCCATTGGCGTCGACTTACACTGAACTCCCAGAGTTATTTTTACCAACTTTCAATTCTCATACGTACCCCGCAACTGCACATCATTATCTGTGTTTGATGGATCCGAATTTTCACCCCGGCTGGTAAATCTCTTTTACTTCCTACTTCCTATTTGGGTTAGTGGAGGGAGAATATTTTGGTTTTAGACTGACCCAAAAATACAGTACAATCAGGGATTTAGTAATACCCCCATTCAATTGGGGTTCATGAATGGGGTTTGGTTGGTTAGTACGCTTTATTTAAATAAACTTTTTATCTAGAACTTTTTTTATTAAAAATGCTAATTTGGTACCTATTTTATTTTTATCTTTTTATTTTTTATCTTTTACAACTTTATTAGGGTTCTAATCGGTTTCTAGCTAAGAATAAAAAATTAGTTAAAAAACTGGGAGAAATACGTACAAATAGAGAACATTCTTACTAATTTTCCTGGTTTTAAGGAAAACATCTAAATTATCACTTCCTGGGTCTATGACCCTTAAATCCAATTTCATTCATTTTCATAGTTTAGAAAAAACGTAAAGGAAACAATAAAAATAAAAACAGAAAGATGAACAAATTTTAAAAATATCAAAAAAGAAAAAAGTCTAAAAAATCAGTTTTCATCCAACTATAAATTGTTAAATAAGCTATACTAGGTTTATTAGACAAGACCTGACTTCCCTGCCCATTAAGAAATAATTTGTATATTATTATACGAAATATAATGTGCATTATCTCGAGTTTAATTCCGTAATAATTACAATTATTGTCCAATTAATTAATTTTTATTAATTACAAAATTTATTAAAACCTCACTTTTTCTCGATTTTAAAGATCATTATAGTTGCCCCAGGTATATCAGTATCAGTCTAAGAACGTATGGCTGGCCCCATTGGCGTCGACTTACACTGATCTCCCAGAGTTATTTTTACCAACTTTCAATTCTCATACGTACCCCGCAACTGCACATCATTATCTGTGTTTGATGGATCCGAATTTTCACCACGGCTGGTAAATCTCTTTTACTTCCTACTTCCTATTTGGCAGTGATGTAACCGATACATTTTTTTCAGTATCTAGGTACCGATACAGATACTCTCTGGTAGATGTATCTGGGTACAGATACCGATACATTTTCCCAAAAGTATCTGGGTACAGATACAGATACATTCAAAAAGTATCTAAGTTACTTCCAGATACTATGTTAAAAAAACTTAAAAATTAAATGACAAAAAAAAATTTTTTGGACCTTATAAACAAGCGTGTTAACTATAAAATAAAACTGTTTTGATAAAATTGACGAAATATCCATGAAAAACGGAAATAAATTTTATATTTACAAGCTTACTACAAAATTTGTAGTACAAATTCAAAATAAAATGTATCCTGTATCTAAGGATCTAGATAGTTTCAAAAGGATCTAGATACTAAAGTAGATCTTGATTTTTTTAAGTATCTCGATACGTATCTAGGTACATAAAATGTATCTAGATCCAGTATCTAGATACATGTATCTCGATACATTACATCACTGCTATTTGGGTTAGTGGAGTGCGGGATCAGGAGGGAGAATATTTTGGTTTTAGACTGACCCAAAAATAAGTACAATCAGGGATTTAGTAATACCCCCATTCAATTGGGGTTCATGAATGGGGTTTGGTTGGTTAGTACGCTGCTAGGACACATCCTTGCTGGTCTTGTAAAAACTCCTGTTATTCTGCATCCGTATCTGCTGAAAACGGAAACTGCTGAACGCATTGTTTGCCTCACTGTGTTATATATTTCTTCGGTCTAGAAAGCGAGAACTATCTATAGATAGTCTTTGGTGGGCAATGTAATTACCGATAGTTTTTAATAGTTTTTTTTAATATTTATTACCGAAGAAATGCGAAAATTGTCTCATAATTCTTGTTAATATGTTGCCCGAGCGTTCCGTTGTCTACGTTTTGTGGTAGAAATTGTATTTACGTTTCGTTTTTTTTTATTGTTTTATAACAATTAAAATGTTTCATTTATATTTTATTAAATTAATTAAATGACAAATATTAAGAGCAATTATAATTTTTTCTGGCTCGCATAAGGCATATTACTTTTGTTCGATATTTTAAGGCGTCGAGTGGTTTATTATAATAAACCACTCGACTATACACGGAAAAAAATAATCGGTAGAGGCTACCGATTGGCAATCGGTAGCAGCTACCGATTGCCAATCGGTAGACTCTACCGAAAAAACGGTAGACTCTACCGAAAAAATCGGTAGTCTCTACCGAAAAAAAATCGGTTCCCTCAACCGATTTTTATCGATAGTGGCTACCGATTATTTTTCGGTAAAGTCTACCGATTTTTTCGGAAGAGTCTACCGATTTTTTCGGTAGCCGTAACCGAGAAAATCCGCATCGATGCGCTGTTAGAAAATTAAAAAAAATATTTTAATACTTAAAATAGTCAGTGTAAATAATTGTATATATTTTCTCATATTCTCGAATAAAACATTGTATTTTGATCAACACTATCATGCTTATTGCATTGAAATTGATTATAAATCAAGTATGCATACTGACAAAGAATAAGAGCAAATTACCAAATTTAGAACCTTGTTTATTAATACAAAAAAAAATCTCTACTTTGTAGCCACCAGACATTTAATTTAATATTTATTTAGAATTATAAAAAATTTAATAAAAATTACTCCTCATTTTTAATATTTTTGTATTTCAAATTTATTTATACCTCAAAAAAACAATACTATTTTCTATTTAATAAAAAGCGAGTATTTAACTTCTCGCTAAAAAAATACAAAAATTTTCATAAATTGGTAATCGATTTTTTCGGTAGCCTGCACCGAAAAAATCGGTAGACTCTACCGAAAATAATCGGTAGCTGCTACCGATAAAAATCGGTTGAGGGAACCGATTTTTTTTCGGTAGAGACTACCGATTTTATCGGTAGAGTCTACCGATTTTTTCGGTAAAGTCTACCGATTGGCAATCGGTAGCTGCTACCGATTGCCAATCGGTAGCCTCTACCGATTATTTTTTTCCGTGTAGTACTTTTAAAGTCCTTTGGTTGGATTTTTGTTTTTAATTTTAAGTCAAACTTACTTTGCTGAATAGGCATTAGGTATTCTTTGGTCTATTAAGATGTTGGTTTATTCCCTGTTCACCTCTTTTAATGTTTTTGATGTATTTTTGTTGTTCCTACGTAGAAAAATCTGTATAAATCAATCTGTATACAGATTTTTCTACCTGTACTGATAGGTATAACCCGAAGGCTTGGTAGGCTTGGTGAATTTTGGAATTACGAGTTTTTAGTATTGCGAATAGCTTCGTGAAAATATTGTTAAAATACTTATCCGAATTTCTCAGATACCCCTGGTTTCCTCGTGATTGATCTCTTTCAGTTTCCTGCCACAATAAACCACCTGTTCAGGTGGATGGCAGGGTTGACACTATGCACTTTGCACTTTAGTCCTGGTCAGTGAGGTGTTTATGCACATTGGGATTCGCGGAACTATAGAATAATTACATTTTACCTAGATTTAAAATGCACAGTTTATGCTGTCTCGTTTCTGTAGCGATAGAAAGTCTGACGGATACAAGTGATACTGTCATCATTATAGTCTCCCCTATTCCATATAAAGAAATTTTACATCTGTTAGTCAGTTCCAACCTTAATTTTTATATTATTATATATAATAATATAAAACCCGATTGGTTCAAATCACAGTGAAATCGGCCAATCAGTGATGCCTAGCAACGTAAATAATTACCATTATATACGAAAAAAACAAATAATGTCAATAATATGCAAAAGGGGTAGACACAACTTAATAATTAATAATACTTTTTGTTAAAGGTTGAAGATTTAGACATGCGAATCGGAATTCACTCTGGATCAGTGTTGTGTGGGGTAATAGGTCTAAGAAAATGGCAATTTGATATCTGGTCTTATGATGTTAGATTGGCAAATCACATGGAATCGGGAGGAAAACCGGGGTATGTTACTTGTTAAAATTTAAATCAAAATTGCTTGAAATATATTTTAGCCAAGTGCATATATCCGAAGCGACATATCGTTGCCTAAACGAAACATACGATGTTGAACCTGGCAATGGACAAGATAGAGATTCTTATATACGAGAACATGATGTTACTACTTATCTTATCAAGCAAGTTGAACCTATGAGATGTAGGAGAAGATTGGCTTCAAGACCAAGGTAAATATGTTTATAAAAATTAAATTGAAATATTCAAACTCAGCATTTTTATTTTAATATTAAATGATGTTTTATTGCATTTATTTTTCGTCTCAGTTAAACCTTTCTTAAAAATGATTTAACAAATCTTAAAGAAATATTTTAATTAAATGCTTGAAAAAAATAAAAAGTATTGTACATTGTACATACAATAAAGCAACTTTTAATTTTTAAGCTTTACTGTTAATAATATACATATTTGATCAATTTTATTCTTATAATATTATACTTTTGTTGGGTTTGCAACTTTTTTAATAATATTATTTCACACTTTTAGTATTTTCTCCAATAAAATTTGGCCCGATGATGAAAATGGAAGTGGTTTTATTTCTCCGAGAACTCCATCTACTCCACAAACACCTCCAATTCCTCCATCTAGGGAAAGAAGTGACAGTGGTATCCATCAGAGTGCAGTTGATGATGAAAATACGACCGACTGGACACCAGAAATTCCCTTTGAAAATGTAATTTAAAACATTTAAATCTTTAACTTTTCCAACATTATTTTATTTTTTAGCTACATAGAACTCTCTCTGGTGATATAGATGAAGACATCGACTCAAACTACTTACCCAATTATGAAACTAGCGAACCTGTTTACAGAAGTAGAAAAAGGGGTTCAACATTTGTTAATACAACTGAACAAGTGGACGATATTATTGATCATAGTATTGAAATTGAAAGCAACAAGAGAATGAGATGTGCAAATGTTAATCCTTGGACTTTAAGGTTTATCGATAAGAATATGGAACTAAAGGTATAATACATGATAATATATGTAACGTGGAAAGAGAAAATCGCCATAACGAACGAAAAGTACAATTTTTAGCAAGTAACTGTGTTTTCGATACACTCGAGCAAATCAGAGGGACTTACTTTTAAGTCTACTCCTAATACGAGCCCTAACAACTTAATGTTCGGACGATACCAATTTTCAGAAATATTTACTCATTTCTCATTCAAGAGATATTATTTAAATTTAAAATTAAAATATTTTATTTTTTACACGCTTAAAAGTCACATATGCTTAAATAAGATTTTATTTAAATAAAAATTGAACAAAAAAAATTAAACAAATACAAAATTAACAAATTATGCTGGCAACTTAAAGTTCGGACGATCACTTATTTGAAGGTTTAGTACGTCGTTACATCTCCTTTGGCCTTTATAACAGCTCTTATCCTGGCTGGCATGGATTCCATTAAGGATCTGCAATAATCTGGTGTAAAAGATTCCCATATTTCTGACAATTTTGTCTTCAAATTATTAGTGGTTCTTTGAGGATTATTTCTTAAATAACTTTTCATGCGGTGCCACAAGGTTTCAATAATATTGAGGTCTGGACTACTTGAAGGCCATGACAAAACTCTCATGGTGTGTGCTTCAAACCATTTTTTGATTGTTTTTGCAGTGTGGCTTGATGCTCCATCTTGTTGAAAGATAAAATTACCATCGGGATAAAGATCTTCTACACTGGGAATAAGGCTGTTTTGTAGAATTTGTTGATATTTATTTGCATTAACTATTCCATCTATTATTTCCATATGCCCCACAACCTTTCCAGACATACAGCCCCAAATCATTACCCCCTTTGCAAATTTTACAGTCCTTTTTAAACAGTCTTTATGAAAGGCTTCAGTTTTATCCCGAATAATTCGTTTTCTACAATCACCTACACACACGTCAAATTTGGATTCATCGCTAAATACGACTTTGACCCAGTCTTCTGCTGTCCAGTGCAATTTAGACTTAGCCCAAATTAGACGTTTTTTCTTTTGTGCTTTTGTTAATAGCGGTTTTTCTTTTGCCTTTAATAAAATAAATAATAAAGTTTAAAAAAATTTAAATAGATTTTTGTTTTATTCTTTATAAAAACCAGTAATTTTTTTATACCTTATAAAAACTTAGTCCGGATTTATGAATCCACTGTCTACAACACTCTCGCGAAATGTTTAGCCTGGTTTCTGCGTTAAAAATCGCCGTTACTTCCCTTAAAGTGGATCTTCGATTATTTTTGCAAATCCTTACGAGCTGCCTCCTCATTCTAGGAGACACTTTTCTTGGCTGCCCTGTACTTTTACCCCGAATTTCGTAACCACTGGTTTCCCCATAACATTTTATAATGTTTCCTATAGTAGATTTCGCCAAATTTAAATTTTTTCCAATAGTTCCCATGCTCTTTCCTTCATGGTACTGTTTTATTACAATTTTTCGAATTTCTTTAGAAGTAGCCTTACCACGAGCCATTTTTAACACGGTAAATTGGAGACCATTATAAAACAACGCCACAAGATTAATTAATTTGACACTTCTTTAACTTAAATCATAGCCACTTTGATGACAATAAATTAAAAACGTTAGTCGTCCGAACTTTAAGTTGCCAACATAATATGTTAATTTTTTATTTATTTTACTTTTTTTGTACAATTTTTATTTAAATAAAATCTTATTTAAGTTTATGTGACTTCTAAGCGTGTAAAAAATAAAATATTTTAATTTTAAATTTAAATAATATTTATTTAATGAGAAATGAGGAAATATTTCTGAAAATTAGAATCGTCCGAACATTAACTATGGTTTCGCGTAAAAATCGAACAAATTTTGGACATTTGTTTGCAAGTGATGTCAGAATTGAATATATTTTTTTTACCTTGTTTCTACATCTAAATGGTGCATTTTTTTCAATAAAAAAATTTCATCCATTGACCGCTGTGGTTAACAGGCCTTAAGTTACTCTACTGTGTTAAAAATAGATAAATTTCGATATTTTGTAATATCATTTTTATTTAAAAACGTATCGATTTGAAATTAAGATAAAATGTAGACCTAATTAATGACAATAAATCCACGTATTATTTTTTTTAGATTTTAACATACAGGGGGCGCTGGGGACAATTTAATTTAAAATTTTACCATTTTTTAAGGGTTAAAAAATCGAAGAAGCAACGTTGTTTTATAATTTTGAGTATATCACGGTAAAGTACTAATAATTAACTATTATTTGATATATAAACTTCTATATGCAAATTATGTTTCTACGAGAGACGTCATTTTTAAGTTAGGCCTTCAAAGAGCATAATACTAACGTGTTTTACAAAGTTTATTTTGTTTTATCTAGTTTTATAATATAATGTATTATATATTACATATTATACATTATATATTACATATAATATATTATATATAACATACAATTCTTACATATTTATTTAAAAAATCGCCATAGATGGAGCTAAAATTACTTTTATTTATAAATTTAAATTTTTTTCCAAGTTTACTAATTTTGATTATAGTAGGCATCATAGACTTTTTTTTTCTATGGTAACCTACCATTGGAAGCATGAAAGATAATATGACAGTTCAGTTTATAAAATGAATAAACTAAATAATATTTATAGACAGCGTTAGCCAGTTAGAAATTATAACCTACTTTAATTTTATTTTTTGCTACACAACCAAGCTTCAATTTATTTTTTACTTAATAAGCAAGCTTTAATTTTAATTCCAAACTGAGGAAAGTAATATTTACCCAATAAATAAATTAGAATAAAGACTTTATTTTTTATGTTGCGATCGGCTATTTAGATATATGTATATTTTTTAATCAGTTGTTTTTCGCTTTTTTGTAATTAGTTATTTTGCAATTTTATATTTAATATAATGCTATACAGGGTGTTTCGCAAACTATATGGATTTAAAATTTTAATAGCCTATACAATTTGATTTAGACTATACCTAAAGTCAATAGTTTTCAAGATATTATTTTTTTTTGTTAAAATTTTGCTAAATACAAGTTAATCAAAAATAACCTCTAATTTTTTGTTATTAGGTTTGCTGACATTTGGTTGGAATTTTTGAAATTTGAATTTTGAATTTTTTAAATAATTTAATTTTTTAAAGGTTTTTCAACAAATAGATTGAGAAAAACCACTTAAAATTAGGCAAACTTCAAACAATAATTACGTTTTAATTATAAATGTAAAACCCTGTATGTTTTAACATAATCAAATAGAAAATTTAAGAACTTTTCGATTGGTATTCTAATAATTGCTTCCTATAACTTTATAAAGTTAAAATTTCAGAGACATTTAACAATTTCTAATATTTTCAATATTATTTTCTATTCTACAAGTTGGTTAATGTGACAGTATCCATGGTTACCACTTAATCTTAATTAATTAATTAAAATATTTGATTGAAAAATTAATAACTAGAAAAATATTGACTTTAGGTATAGGATAAGGTATATAGCCATTTTATTAATAATTTTATGTATACATTCTATAGAATTAAAAAATGTAAAAATATATAAGGTGTCCTGTTTAAAATAAAAAGACAATTCCGGTAAAACGAGAAGTATTATTTTGTTTAATTTAAGAAAAAAATCGAAATCAAATAATTTACGCTATTAAAATTATTTTAAATCGATGACTTTCCCGATTCCCTATAGAAACTTCTAACGGACTACGTACGTGAAACACCCTGTATATTAAACGTCATTTATGTGTTATGCTTTACTTAATTAATAATAAAAGATACAACAATATTTGTATAAAAATGACAATATGTACTAAACTAAACATTTATGAATACTGCTACTGCTAATTCAAAATTGATCCTGGCCACATAAACATCATTTGCATAAAAAAGTTAATATATCAAATAAAAGTCAAATATCAATACTTCAACGTGATATACTCAAATTTATAAAACAAAGTTGCTTCTTCGAATATTTACCCTTTAAAAATTGTTAAATTTTAAATTAAATTCTTACCAGCGCCCCCTGTACGTTAAAATCTAAACAAAATTTTTTCATGAATTAATTGTGATTAGTAAGATCTACATTTTGTACAAATTTCAAATCGATACGATTTAAAATAAAAAAGTTATCAAAAAAAAAGAAATTTCTTCATGTTTAACACAGTGAAGAAAAAAGTAAAAATAAAAATAAAGTTGTCGATGGACAAGATTTTTTTTTTGAAAAAAGTACTGCATTTAGATGTAGAAATAAGGTAGAAAAGTTTCAATCGATTTCTTGAACCCTTGCAAATCGACCGTTCGATCCTTTCGCGAAACCGTAGTTAAGTTGTTAGGGCTCGTAGTGATGATGTCCGAATACAATGAATACACTAATATAAAGTTCAGATTTGTAGTAGTCCACAAAGCACTCTTAACTTTGAGATTTTATACGAAGCCTAATTTTTTAGATAGACATGGTTTTATAAGTTTTATAGATCCGAATATCTTCTTTTAGTGGAATCAATGAAAATTAGAGCGAATTTCTTGCTCCACGAGACAAATGAAAAATATTTACATATTTGAAAACAGTGTTAGTCTTGATGAGATCTACAACCTTTATTACGTTATCCATTTAAAGTAGAAACACCCTGTATATTCTAATGAAAAATATATTTTAGTTCAGCCAGTTAGGAGAATACATGTTTAAATCAAACATGGTGTGTTGTTTCATAATATGGATTTTCATTGCACTATGTCAATTTGCAATCACAACTTTGTAAGTATTGTTTAACTAACCTATTATTATTTTTAAAACACTTTTGTAGGGGTCCTGTAATTATTGTTTGCTTGGTTTTAACGACAGTACTTTTAACCTTCACTACAGTTTTGGTAATGGCCGAAGAATTTAAACAACTTCCACAATCATTACAAAACATGTCATATGCCTTAGTTCATAATCGTAACAGAAGAACTATTTTTATATGTGTTGTAATTATAATAATGTCAATAGTTAGTTCTATATCTCTTGAACGATTTAAGTTTACTTCGCAGGTAGATAACACCACCCTAAGAATATTACCTGAAAACTTACATAAACTTGCCAAGGGCACATCTACGAGTAATGCAAATCAATTCATCTTAAATTTGTCACTAATTGCTAAAGTTAATCACAATGTAACTGTAAACTTTACTGGCGATAGTCATAACTGTTCAGAGCAATGTCTAAAAGAAATTTTAGACAAAATCGTATTAAACGACAAAGGCAAAGAACCTGATAACACCACAGAGTATACTGGCACTGTTATGAACAGTATAAATGAAAAGTTGTCAAAGTTAAATCAAAGCATATATAGAATAGAAAATAAACTAAGCAACTCAGAAAGGCACAAACGTAGTGTGTCTAAGAATACCAATGGATTAACAATGGATGAATTATCTGCCGAGCGAAATCAAAAACTTCTTCAAATCGCCTTAAAAGATGATCTTTGTCTTCACCCTGAATATATAGTTTTTACTTGGGTGTTATGTTTAATAGCTCTTGCTACAGCTCTAAAGTTGTACTATCTGATTAAATTATTTCTTGCTGTTGTAATGGTGGGAGTCTACACATTTCTTATTACAACATCTTACTACGATACTTTTATTAACGTACCTCAGAACCAAAATAGCGAATATGTTCAAATACCAGCACAAATGTTGATTCTTTTGGTTATATTTTTTCTTATGGTAGCTTATCATGCTAGATTGGTCGAGGTTACATCCCGATTAGATTTTCTTTGGAATCAACAGGCTGAAAGGGAGCTAAGCGATATGGAAGAAACAAGGCACAATAATACACAACTTTTAAAGAATATATTACCGGACCATGTCGCACAGCATTTTTTGTCTAATGAGAGAAACTCCGATGTAAGAAAACAAATTTGGTAGGGTATCATAACTCAATTTCTTGTTTCAGGAACTTTACGCTCTGGATAAAAAGTTGGTAGGAGTGCTTTTTGCGAGTATTCCCAACTTTACAGACTTTTATTCAGAGGATATAAATAAAGGGGTGGAATGTATAAGATTGCTAAATGAAATTATAGCTGATTTCGATGAACTATTAGACGAAGAAAAGTTTAGTTCGATTGAAAAAATAAAAACTGTTAGCGCTACTGCAACTTATATGGCTGCTTCAGGACTTCACCCAACTGATAAGGTATTGTTTAAAATAATTTGTAAATTTTAAAGTACATAAAATGTAGGTCCTACATACATATAAAATATTTCAGCATAATGTCAACACGGACAGTCCAGATCATTTGTGTGCTCTAGTGGATTTTGCTCTTTGTATGAAACAAAAGTTGGACGAAATTAATAAGGATTCCTTTAACAATTTTGGTTTACGGATAGGAATATCGTGTGGTCCTTTGGTGTGTGGTGTGATAGGCGCACGAAAGCCTGTATTTGATATTTGGGGAGATACAGTTAATTTAGCATCTAGGATGGACTCAACAGGTGTTATAGGATACATACAAGTTCCAAAAGAAACTGCAGAAGTATGATTTAGTTAATATTTAATTGTAATAAGATGCTTAATAATATTATTTTAGTTGTTACGTGGGTATGAAATTAAGAAAAGAGGTATAGTGGATGTTAAAGGTAAAGGCAGGATGGAAACTTACTTTGTTATGGGTAAACATTTAGGAAGACCACATAGTTTCCAAAGAAAACCCAGTCAATACAGTAGTTTAGCTGTTGTAGTGTATGCTATATCCCAAAGCAGAAGAAAGCACACAGGACCAACACGTAAGATTACTTTATAATGTAAATTTATATTATTTACAAATTATACATGATCAAAAAAATTACAATTAATTAAATTTGAATAATTTTCTTATTTAATTAAGTAAAACTTTTTCGGAAGGCAACCAGCAACACATTAAGAGAATGTGATAATACAGTACGACAAAATTTGATTTTTTTTTTAACTAATGAAAATACATCCGTTATGCCTATACGCTTTATGAGGTCTTGAGGTTAGTCTAGTAATGGGTGAATAAACAAGACTGGCTTGTGGATATCCATATAGACATATTATGTCTTTTTTGTCGAGTGGTTAATAATGCGCCGATTGTATTCGCAATTGTTAATAATTAATGACATTCATTTCTCCCGCTGTGAACAATCTTATTCCTTCCCCTGTATATATTTTCATTCCCTCCCTTTTTAAGCGAACATTTAGAAGCAAGTAGGTAAGCGTACTAACTTAATTGGAACGAGTTTAGGAATTTAAACGTCAGTTTTTATTTAAACGTTACTTGTTTAATTTTCTAAAAAATAATTAATACTACCACTCGACAAAATGTATAGTGTTTACCTCGCGTGGAATCGCAATTACACTTTCAATGAATTCCTTCACTTGCCTATCGGCTCGTTGGTAAACTTTTATCATCGGGAGTAATTGGGAGAATGTCTGTTGACATTCTACTAAAAAACAAGTATTTTAGTAGAAAAAAACTTTATTTTTCAATAGTTACAAATTATTGCATCTTTTTCTTTTCAACTTTTTAATTGACCCTCATTTACCAGTATCCAATTACAAATGCAAAATTGAAACCTGCAAGGTAAAAAATGACGAAAATTTAAATAATCTTCCTTCAATGCATTGGTATGGGATACAGGATATTGGCCATATAAGCAACTTAGGCGATACGAGTGAGTCTACAGTTAATTAATATAAAATCTATAAAGGTTTTTGGATAAGAGAATGCTAGCGATTAATGTTGGTCTCATACGTAAAAATAACAATGCCGTTCATAATACAATATATTTTATAACTAAAATTATAATTCATGGTTCATAATTAATACAAATTGCTAAACAATGTATTATAAAAAACTGATCTAATAGTTTTGTCTATCATTCATTAACTAACAAGACATACGTATACGTTGCAGCTAAACTAAATACTAAAACTATTTTATCCGTAGTATAGCTACCACTAACATTTTGACCCTGATTGATAATTGGGGTGTCGTTGTAATAGAGGAAACCATAATTGTAACTTAACTTCCTACTGAAATTCATAACCTACTGCTTCTTATTTACTTACTTTTACCATAACCTTTTATATTTGACCAAAGAAAAAAACTTTTTACTTCCAACGAATAACCAACTTCATAACTTTTTAGCTGGTAGTGCTGTTCTTGGAAGAGCTAGAACGCAACAAAAACATGACACAAAGAAATACAGTTCAATGAGAATAACGCACAAGGCGACTGGTTACCCTGTAAGAAGAAATACCACAAGAGCAAACCAAAGAACCATGCACGCTAGGTAAATTAAAAAACGATCAAATTTTAAATATTAATACTTTTTTATTGTAGATCTCAACCAAATATGAGACAATTAGGCTCTGGAAGTCACCTAGAGAATAAACCGATGGAAAGGGAAATTACTTCCACGACAATCAACAAGATTACGATATCTCAGTCAGCTCCACACACTCCAGTTTCAGCTCCAAATTTCAACGAAACTCCAATATTTAAAGCGGTACCACGACTATTATCAGAACCAATAGTTAACAGAACCAAGAGCAATTCGCCTGGGCCTCGACCTAAGACAGCACCGATAAACGTGTTGGAGAAAAACGGCGAGATAGCTGATATTTTTAATGTGAAATGTTCGTTGCCACCTTCTGTACATTCACCCAAATCCCCAAAACATTTAGCCAAAAAAGAATCGAGATTTTCGTTAAAATCTCCTCTGTACAAGAGGGAAACAAAAATTCAGATTGAGCACTATGGTAATAAAATTAACAAGGTCAATTCTTTGGATGGAACCCATGTGTGAGTTTATTGATTCAAACTAAAATGGTGCTTTTAATTAAATTGTGATTAATTTATGTTTAGTGCCAATTGATGTCTAAAAATGTATATTCAAAATATGCAGTCCAATTTATATGGCAGAATTCTAAACAAACATATTATGTGTTAATGTCGATGTCAATGTGTAAATTCTGTAAATTTATGCACAGACTACAATAACTGATTTGATACGTACATTTACGCCACAAAGGTAACACACTGAACTAAAACAAACCACAAATCCAACCAATAGTAAATACATTTAGTAGTTAAGCTACTGATATTTACATTTGTTTCATACTTTTACTACACATTTTATGTATATTATATATACTAAAACTTGATGCTTGTAGTAAAAGCACGAATTTACTAGTAAAAGAACGCTTTTACTAAAAGCTAGTCACATCTACTAAAAGGTATACTTTGACTGTGACATCAACACATAAAAGAATTCCTGTTATTTTTATATGTTTAATCTATAGAAGTACATTTATATATTTATAATAATATTTTGTTTTATTTTTTCACACAACTTTTAAGTTTACTATATGGTCTGTTCAGTTATTTAATTGTGCCATAAAAATTCAGATCTGTGCAATTTTTTTACGGGACCATTTTTATGTTTTTTTTGCAGAAAATATTTATGTATTTAAAACAGTATTTTAATAAAAGTTATATATGTACATTACCTCTTTTATCATAATTTTAGTCATTTTGTAATATTATCAATCCAAACAAACGCTCTAGGAATTTCCTAGAAGCTCTTTCTGTCACTGGTCGCACAATATACTATTTCTACTCCTATTGCATAAATTATTATTAAATATTGACATTATTGGGGTTTTTTTACCAGCACTCATGCTTCTTGTTAAAATATTACTTAGCAACGTGTTTTTTCGATTTTTTTTCGTAAAAATTAGATGCCCTTATGATATTTCTTACGATAAGAAAGATACAATAATTAAAATGCTTTATTTTTTTAAACTTTATTTTTAATAAAATATTTTGTTTAAATATATTAATTATAAAAAAATATTATTTACAACATCTTCTAAGGGGGTTTAATTAATTTGAACCCATTCGCTTCTAGGAGTACCAGGTGTAGATTCTGGTGATTCTGCATGGTTTTGAGTATGAGGACTTTCATAATCACTAACTTTTTCCACGGCATTTCCCTCGTTTTGATATACAATTCTTTCATGGCCCATATGAGCATAACTTAAATCAGCATTTACCACTGAAACGTACTCGGGATTTTGGTACTGAGTACAGCTTAGATCTTGACTATAATAACTTGGGTATGATAAGTTAGTGATATTCGAAATAGGTGATGGTTGATAAATTTGATGGCTTGGTGATTGGCTTGGAGTTGGCTGTGTAGATATTTGGTGTGGTGGGGGTGGACTGGATGTAAGTGACCAACAATTTAATGCCGAAGTCATTATTGTGGTTGGTGATTGGGCTTGCATTGATGGCATTCCGGACCAACTCGTGTAATTTGGTGTTGATGTGTTGTATAAGGCTTGTTGTTGAATATGCTCTGGAGGGTTATATACTAAAACAATATTTTATTATGTTAGAAAAGCATAATATACAATAATATAAGTATTATTCATTTAGGCATCAGTACTATCATACATTTTGCTAATATATTTATTTCTAGTTGTGTTACAATATACGTATATATACAGCCCGTTCAGAGTAAAACCGAATATAGGAAACGTTTTGGGCGTGGCCTCGCCTCCCTCCAAGGCGCGTCACAGTAGCTTGTGTGATAAACGACATGACGAAAGGTCGAGCAGGTAAGACGACTTAAAAAATTAAATGATAATAATGCAAAAATCTCATTAGCGATGCAGGCTATTTGCTTAGCTACTGTGTCGCGCGTTGGAGGGAGGCGAGGCCACGCCCCATACGTTTCCCTATATTCGGTTTCACTCTGAACGGGCTGTGTATATATATATATATATATATATTGGTGTTTGGTAAGCAGTGACTTCCGATAGGTTGACGTGGCGCCCTGACCTCCGGTGTTACCAGTTATTTTAAACGTATATATTAGGGTGCGTTTGAAAGAGGGGAAGGTCTACAATTCGGTTGTCAAAAGAGGGGAAGCATTTTGTGAAGAATTAAAATGTATATATTTGGAAGCAACTAATATACGAAATCACTTCCGCATATATATGAAAGAGTTACGGTCACGTCGTACTAACTTCCAGCAGTGTTGCCAGATATCAGAAGTTAGATTTACAACTATATTTTGTTAACTTGCGTAAAGAAATCAATAATTTAAATTAAAACCTAATACCTATTTAGGGAGAAACGTACAAAATAGTATTTTTAATATAAAAATAACCAATTTTGTTACTTACGTAAAGAAAATTATTTTATTACAAATTATCAAGTGTTCATTAATATTGACAGATACGTATTTTTTGAAGTTAAGAACAAAATTAACATTTCAAGATGGGTATCTATAAAAAGGTGTTGATAATTGCAATTAAAAAAATTATATTATTTACCCCCTCCCTAGCCCCCAGTTTATTAAGTTTCCATATTTTAAAATTAATATGTCAAGATAGGTATCTATAAAAAGGTCTTGATAATTGCAATTAAAAAAAATATATTAATTACCCCCTCCCTCCACCTAATTTTATTAAATTTTATATTTAAAAATTAGCATAACAAGATGGGTATCTATAAAAAGGTCTTGATAATTAAAAAAATTATATTATTTACCCCCTCTCTTCCCCCCAGTTTATTAGGTTTCTATATTTCAAAATTAACATGTCAAGATGAATATCTATAAAAAGGTCTCAAAATTTTCAATTAAAAAAAAATAACCCCCTGCCTGCCCCCCTATTAACAAAATGTATATTGCAAAATTAACCTGGCCACATTGGTAATTAAAAAAAGGTCTTAATAATTACAATTTAAAAAATATTATTAATTACCCCCTCCCGCCCCGTAATTTTAAAAAAAATTGTATTGCAAAATTATCTTGTCAAGATGGGTATCTATAAAAAGGTGTTGATAATTGCAATAAAAAAAATATTTTATTTACCCCTCCCTTCCCCCCAGTTTATTAAGTTTCTATATTTTAAAATTAACATGTCAAGATAGGTATCTATAAAAAGGTCTTGATAATTATAATTTAAAAAATATAATTAATTACCCCCTCCCCCCTAATTTTTTAATTTTTAATATTACAAAATTAACATGGCAATTGCGCAATATGGTTATCAATAAGAGGTGTAAATATTAACAATTTAAAAAATTATAATAATAACCCCTTCCCTGCCCCCAATTAAAAAAAGTCAATTGCAAAATTAAAAATTTGCTCATAGCAATATGGGTACCTTAAGAGGTCTTAATATTTACAATTTATAAAATTATAATAATCACCCCCTCCCTGCAAAATATATTGCAAAATTAACCTGACATCATTGGTAATTATTTAAAAGGTCTTAATAATTACAATTTAAAAAATATTATTAATTAGCCCCTCCTTCTCCACTAATTCTTAATTCTTTTATATTGAAAAATTAACATAATATTATGTAGCAATATGGATTTCTATAAAGAGGTCCTAATATTTACAATTTAAAAAATTATTTAAATTTCCCTTTTCTATTGCTTGGAATATTAACATGGCAAAATCTGTACAATGTTAATGATAATAATTTTAATAATTTTAAACTATTCCCTTCTTCTCCCCTAATTAATTTATTTTTTTATTAAAAAACATTCAAAATAAACCTGGAGCAGGTATAGGAAACAAAAAAAGCCAAATGTACGTTTGGACATATCGTCACGTTCAAATTTTTCTATAAAATAATGTTTAGTAGAAAAAATAAAGGTATATAAATAATTATTAAAAGGTCCAATTACTCCAGTGCATTGCATTAAATAACCCGATAAGCGAATATTTTAATAAATAAGGGGAAGGAGGGGGTAATTAATACAATTTTTTAAATTGTAATTATTAAGACCTTTTTATTGATACTCATCATGCCATGTTAATTTTGCAATTTTAAAATGTAATAAATTAGGGGGCAGAAGGGGGGTAATTAATTTATTTTTTAAAATTGTAATTATTAAGACCTTTTTATAGATACCCATCATGCCATATTAACTTTGCAATTTAATAATGTAATAAATTAGGGGGCAGAAGGGGGTAATTAATATAATTTTTTAAATTGTAATTATTAACACCTTTTTATAGATACCCATTATGCCATGTTAATTTTGCAATTTAATAATGTAATAAATTAGGGGGCAGAAGGGGGGTAATTAATATAATTTTTTAAATTGTTATTTTTAAGACCTTTTTATAGATACCCATCATGCTGTGTTAACATTGGAATATAAAAATGTAATAAATTAGGGGGCAGAAGGGGGGGAGTTATTGTAAATTTTTTAATTGTAATTTTTAATACCATTTCATAGATACCCATCTTGCCACGTTAATTCTTCAGAATAAAAGTTTAATAAATAAGGGGGGAAGGAGGGGGTAATTAATATAATTTTTTAAATTGTAATTATTACGACCTTTTTATAGATACCCATCATGCTATGTTAACTTTGCAATATAAAAATGTAATAAATTAGGGGACAGAAGGGGGGTAATTAATATTTTTTTTTAAATTGTAATTACAATACCATTTCATAGATACCCATCTTGCCACGTTAATTCTTTAAAAAAAATTATCGGGGAAGAAGGGGGTAATTAATATAATTTTTGAAATTGTAATTATTAAGACCTTTTTATAGATACCCATCTTGCTAGGTTTATTTGCAATAATAACATTAATAAATAGGGTGGCAATTATTTTGTTTTTAAATTGTTATTATTAAATCATTTTAATGATACCCATCTACTTATGTTATTTTTGTAATGATTATTACCATAATATTATTATAGTTTAATCATAGAGAAATGTAATGTATAATGTAACATTATTAATGTTATTATAAATACCACTTTTTTATAAAATTTGCTAAATAAATATATACCATATATCAATAAAATAATTTTAAAAATTAACAATAATATTAAGGTATTTTTATAAAATTATAAAATTAATTATATCATCTGATAATTTTACTCTGATTTAATTACTGGGTTCCGAAAAGGATTAAATCTTAAATGAGCAATAATATAAATACTCTGAAATGATTAAATCTCAAAAGTAGCTAAACTATGGTTATCATTTAGAATATAAATCTTTAAGGTATTTAATCTTTAAAAGAGTAGAAGTGTTTTGATACTTTTGGGATTGAATCCTTAATGTATCGAATCACTACGAGAGCGGTATAATTTAACTCATCTGGAGAGTAATACTTCGCAGATCGAAATAGGTTTCGATCGCGAGTGAGTTGAGAGCTATTCAAAATCAGTGATTTAATCCTAGTCCCTGGAATAAAGGAAAAAAGCAGTGATTCAAAGCCAAAGGCGGCAGATCTTAAATGTCTCGCAGCGTCTCAGCGCTATGAGATATTAATATCACTCTAATAATTAAAGGAATGAGAATAAAGATTTGGCAACGCCGATTTAACAAGAGAGAGTTAGGTATAGCGTGAACTGCAGGCACAACAAAGATAGTTATATTGTCATGCCCACGCGGAAGTCAAATCGTACAGTTTGTTAAATATTTGTAGCGACAACAGCGCCAGCGGTATATACCCGAACTAAAGGAAAGTTTTGTAGGTATATATGGTACGCACTGACTTCCAACCTAAAATTTGAAATAACGCTTTTTTCAACCTCTATATGACATTGCGCTAAAAAAATGCACTTTTCGTAGTGACTTCCGAAATCGGAAGTCACATCGTTATATATGAAGTCACAACGTCTAGTGAGTATCTATTTTGGAAGTCACTTGATACTATTTATCAATATATATATATATATATATATATATATATATATAGTGCCTTTGGTATTAAAATAAAAAATATTAATAAAATTATAAAGTAAATTGTACTGCCCGAACCTCCTTAAGTAAGAAAAATGGATTGAACAAATATTAAAAAAAGGTGTTTTATGCTTATTTGGGACATTATAAACAAGTTTTAACATCCTGTACCTCCAACATAAAGTGTTGCGAAGTGTTGTACTATCATAAAGATCCCTCTTTAGTAATAACTTGCAAACTTGGATCTGCTTGTATGGACTTTTAATTTTATTTATAGCACAATAAATATACAACTTTTTACATTTAAAATTATTATTTTATAATATTATAATTACCATGAGGGGGTGGCGATACAGAAGCAGACTTGGTTCTATGTACAGTGTATGGCGAGGCAGTTTGTCTTTTTAAAGTTGGACTTGATCTGTATTTACAAGATGACATTTGTGCCGAAGGATAAATTGGTTGATGCGGTAGAAACCAGGAACCATCTAAAAAATATGATATAACCGGGTAAAATGTACATAAAACTAATATAGTTCTTACATTGCGAGTATTGAGTTTGCTGCTGACTATAAGCTGGTGAGTATTCCCTTTGATTGTACATAGCATCTGGTCTTTCTTTAGCATCTAAAAAGGCTTTTGCAAAAGGATTGTATTTGATTTTCAATGAAGTTACTTCTTCGTTTTGATAAGCGGTTACAGCTATAAATTGTGTCTCAGGGAACGGGAAGGTCATCACCCTTCTTGGTTCAGTGCCCACTCTTACTAGGTGTACCCTGGGTTCATATTTGTGTAAGGAGTTTAACATGATTTGGCCGTTGCCGTTTGATTTATTGGTCAACTTGACTTTAGCAAAAGATATTGATTCTTTTGTCCAATGTGCACCAAAGTTTGGTGACTCGGGGTGGATATATATTGGATTTGATGGGGGTACTTCCGCTTTACCTCCAGGTACCCATTCTCCGTTCACGTATTTCCATCTATGAGGATCTATTTGTACAAACTCTAAGAGCACCGTGTACATTGCTTTGTGGTCCAAACCTGAGGCAGTTACTTTGACCACGGGGAACATACGCCTAAAATTTTTATTTATTTAACATTATTTTATTATTTAAAGAACCAATTAAAGTTTTTCCTTGGCAACAAAATAGTCAATGGAAAAAGTAACTACTTGTTTAAACAAAATATAATTTAAGTTTGAAGGTAACAGACCGTTTCTAATAATTTAATAAATACCTTCCACTTTTTGTGACAATCATTTCGTTTGTAAAACATTGAAATCTAACCCATAAGTCTCTGTCATCCAAAGAGACTGAAAGATCCCTTTCGGACGAGTCACCTTTTTCTTTACTTGCTGTAATCTCGGACTCAACAGCAGACAAAATGTGTTGTGCCATTTGTCTTTCTAAAAATTATAAAATAAAAAAATGTTAATTGGTTATTATTTTTCAAATCGGAATATTGTTGAAAAAAATCTCACCGATTTGGCTCAAATTTTGCATACACACCTAAACTTGTTCTCTTTTTAATGTAACTTATAACTAAGTAATATAAATATAAGCTATATCAAATTTTAAAAAAATATTTAAAGTAACAGTTAAAATTTTGGTAGCATAGAAAAAAGCAATAAATACCAAAAAATAAAATATACCTATATATAATATACAGGGTGTCTCAGAAGAAAATTCTACCTTCACTATTTAAAAAGAGCCTAAACATTATGTTTTTAAATTTAAAAACAAGAGGTTTACCTTAATTATATTCTTTTAAGTCGAATTATATACAGTGCTTGCAAATGCAAGTCCGACCGGTTTGGAAAGGACGCGTGAAAATAACAAGGATAGAACGCCAAACAGAAGGCGCTTACAATACGCACTCCTGACGCTCTGACCAATCAAATTCTGTTTGGCATTCTATCCTTATTCTTTTCACGCGGGTATTAAACAACCATCCTTCCCAACGCGGTCGGACTTGGATTTGCAAGCACTGTAGATGGGTCTCATGTACAGAATATTCAAACAATGGTTTTATTAGGAATTAATGTTTCATCTTAAGAAAAAATGAATTAAACAACATGATGTGCAACAATTGATTATAATCACAACATTTTTTTTATTCATGGAAATAAACCTAAAGAATCCATTACGGGTTATAACAGGTAAGTACATGTGTATAAATATAATAATAATAATAATGATAAATACCCTACCTAACAACGGGAATAATGAACTCATTATTTACTTTGTTAGGCATCAGTGATTGGCCGATTTCAATATTCACTGTGATTTGAACCTATATTTTTGAAAATGATGTAATTATCTAATTATCCAATAATTATTTAGAGTAGAAAAAGTAGACCGTTAAGCTGGTTATGAATTTAAAACTCGTCAGATCTGCGCATGTGACCTCACGTGAAAACAAGATTTAAAAGTTTTGGATGTGCACGGGAGTTTTCCGTTAAGTTTTTTGCAATTATTGCTTTTGTTGGCCAGCAATAACTAAGGTTTAAGTTTAAGCAGAACGTCCATATATTTATAAACTTGGGAAAATAACTTGATTTAGCAGATTTTGGTTCGCACATGATGTCATATAACATGCGCATCAACATACCGTTGTTTGTGTATCGTGGTAAAAAGTTTTTACTAAAAACCAAACGTTGACCAACCGTTCACGTGCATTTACTCACGTGAGTCGACAGTCTATGCGCGGTGGCTTTGAGAACATTGTACACCGCTTCTTAAATACAACATCGTGATTTTTTATTAATTAAATTCTGATAAACATTTTGTATTAAAATTAGTTTATTTATTTTTAAATTAAAATTATAAGCAAATGCATTTTTGCTTATGCATTTGGATATTTTATCTATTTAGCATATTTTAATAATTAACCTACTGATAAAACATATTTATGCTATTTTTACAGTAGATATATTATTAGTTTTTTTGGACACCTACTGTAGGTGTAACTGTAACAGTATTAAGGGAAAAAAAGAGTTTTAAGATCAGCGAGGGTGGACTTTTTAGATAATATCCGCAAATACGCACGTAATATGCCGGATGGTTCCAAGAATACTCTCAATAATCCTATAACACGCTGAACATTCTTGGGCGCTAACAGGAATATTCCAAAACTGCAGTACCCTATGGTACTAAATAAATAAACATATAATTGAATAGTATATTCTCTAACAAGTTTGGAATACGGCATATTCCGCTCGAGTGAAAAGTTTATCACACGAGCCGAAGGCTAGTTTGACGGTTTCACGATAGCGGAATATGCAATTCTAAATGTGTTTCAGACTATACTTTTTCTACGTTTCAAAAAATACCATATAAATATAATTTAATTGGAAGAAAGTGAGGTTGGATCGGTCTAAAAGTTGTTAGATTATAAACACAGATACAGCGACACCAGTGTTTATTCCGTCATCCGATGATATAATATTTCAATCTTTAATACTTTAGAACGGTCATATTCCGTAATAGAAGTAGAAAAAATTGTTTTTATTTTTATAATATTTGAATCCCCTATTATCAAAACCCCTTAAATCAGTTTTGATGAAAAATGAAAACCATGCATTAAAAAAATACTACCTGTCAATTTGTGCATTCAAATGGTTTAAAAAGCCACGATGGCTTTGATGGCTTTTGCAACCATATCTATGCACACATTGATAGGTAGGAATATTGTAATGCATGAGGTCAGATCGCAAAGTTTAAATCCTAATATAATCCAGGACTATTTCCAGGAATATTCCAAACTAACAGGAATACCCCAAGGAATATTCTTAGCCTAATAAAATGACCGATTTTTGTTCAGATCCTGATTTACGTTAGGGAACATTCACATTTCTATAAATATAATTAAAAAGGGTCCTTCGATAGCGCAGTGGGTTAAGCTACAAAGCCGAGACAAACTGCGTCCGTCGGTATCGGGTTCGATCTCCGGTCACAGCCTTGGGTATTGTGCGTGTAAAAGTCGGTGGATAAGTCCAACTGCACCTTGTTAAAAAGTGGTTGCAGGAGTGATTTATCGAGGACCTTGGTTTGGATTCCACGTTTAACAGTAGGTCCCGCGAAAGGACCGAACCTTATAGGCTTTGCCTATAAGCTGGATAGGTCGATAGCGTTACTAGTCTACTTTTTAATTAAAAAACATATAAATAATATTTATTTTTACTTATATGACAAAAAACTTCAAGTCTGTAACAAAAATAAACTTTTAATAATCAAATTTTAAAAAATAAAAATGTTTTGGTACTGGTCTGTTTAATTAATCTTTAATTAATTAGACACCATTGTTTTATTTCCTTCTACTCTAAACTTATATAATATGCATTGCACTTGTACTATATATAAATATATTTACTCATTCTCTTTTCATTGCACCAAATATGTGTATGCGGGTTATTAAAAAAAAAGTCAAAATCGGTTATCTAAAATTTACCTAACAAGTACATGGGCTATCATAACTTTATTGACAGAAAAAATCAGAAGGAATCTGACGTTAGATGTAGACATTCAATGTTTACATCTAACGTCACATCACTTCTGCTTATTTATAGCCGGCCACTATACTACTAAAAGAAGTTTATTTTATATTGTTAGATAGAGATTGAAATCGAAAAGTTTCCTTCGGGCAACTTGTGCTTAGTGCTTTTGAAACTGGATTATGTGCATGCAGAATTACCGCCTTAAAACTGCATTTTAAGTGATCTACTAGGTTAAATTATTGGTGCCTGGTGAAACCAAAATATGGATATTCGTACAATAAGCAAATATATTTAAAATATATTCATTTTAATTTTTACGTACATAATTCCCTTGAAAATATTTTTTTTGAAAAGGAAGACATTGAATTGTAAAAAAAGTTTTTATTCGAACAAGTCGATATTTTCTTGAAATAGCTTAAATTTAATGTAATTCTATGAAAACAATAAACATAATAACTGAAATGAACTGAATAATATTATATTTCCTTATAATTAAAAAAATTAAAAAAAGTAAATAGGTGTGGAATTTTTTTTAAAAACAATATACATATAAACGATATACTTCGATAAATGGGAATCATATTTTGAGATATATAATTCATTTCTGGCATGTGGAAAAAAACCTTTATTATTTGAGCCAATCCAAAAAACCGAATATTATCATAGAAACAAAGCGTGCTTGAATTATCTTTGCTAGGTATAAGCGTCATCAGTTGAAAAAAAATTGCTTTATTAAATATATTTATAAATTTATTATAATAAATTTAAAAAATAAAAAAAAAGTTTTAACGCACTAAAAAGTATAATAGTTATTTACGATATAAGTGGGATAAGAGCTTTATTAACGTACGCATGCGAAGTACGTTAATAAAGCGTTATCACACGTATATTGTACAAATTTTTATCTACGCCTCTAAATGAAAAAATAAACGGTAATTATTTTTGTCTAAGACTTAATTTAGGGTTATTTTGACATTTTGACTTTTTTATTTGATTGGTTAAAAGCAGAGAAAAACGCGTGCGTTAATGAACTTCTTATCTCACTCAAAATGAGTGGGATAAGAAGTTCTTATCTCACTGGCGTAGATAAAACAATATACGTAATTAACTTATTTTGAGCATTATTAAACTTGTTACTTCTTCACTCCAAATGTTCAATGACTATGCCAAAAAGCAGTAAAACAAGAGTTTACAAATGGTACAAGAGTTTTTAGGATGGCCGTGAAGACGTTGAAGATGACGAACGCCCCGAACGCACAAGCACATTAACAACCGATAAAAACATGGAAAAAGTGGAAGAAATAGTTATAAACCATCAGAGAAGTCGCTGATGATGTTGGTATATCGATTGGCTCATCCCATGATTTTTTTTCGAATGTTTTGGGTATGAAACGCGTGGCAGCAAAATTTGTTCTAAAATTGTTAAATTTTGAACAAAATTTTTGGCCAAAAACAATACTTCCCCCAGCCTCCATATTCGCCAGACATGCCTCTGTCTGACTTTTTCCTATTCCCAAAAATAAAGAGAACCTTAAAGGGCCGTCGTTTTGCAAGCATAGATGACATTAAAAGCGCATCGCTGAAAGAACCAAAGGCTATCCCAAAGATCAAGTTTTAGAAGTGTTTCGAGTATTGGAAGAAGAGCTGGCATGTGCACATGTGAATAATATCCAATGGGGACTATTTTGAAGGCGACAACATTAATGTAGACGAATAAATAAATATTTGTTTCAAAAACGAAAATTCCCGATATTTTCTAAACACACCTCGTATACTAGATCCCAAAAGTGTGTTTAAAATTTTTAGCTCAATCTGTTTGGAGGAAGTAAGTTTAAATCGACTTTCTAGATTTGTAAACATATCTACAACTAGAGTTACAAGTAAAGTTGATTTAAAGCGTGTAATATAAAA